ATCTTTAAGATACTGAATTTTCAAATGATCGTAACTTTTTATTCGAATGTCCTTTTGACGCAATTTTTTTTTGATACCTCGTATTTTTTCGAGATCTATTTAAAAAACTCATCCTCTCTAATTGAATTTCCTTTTTATTTTTTCATCATATTTCTACTCATATAAAAATGAGTAAGAAGGCGTTTTTTGAAAAATTGGCTCGCTCAAACTGCCTTACGATAGTTCGATTGCGTAGATATCAAAAAAATACGCAGGCTAAAAATAATTGCCTGAAATGGACATCCGTAACCCGAGTTCTGACCGTTTGAAGTTTCCAAAATTCACAACTACCTTAATCTTTAAGATACTGAATTTTTAAATAATCGTAACTTTTGACTCGAATGTCCTTTTGACGCAATTTTTTATTGATTCCTCGTATTTTTTCGATATCTATTTGAAAAACTCATCCGCTTTGATTGAATTTTCTTTTTATTTTGTCATCATATTTCTACTCATATAAGAATGAGTGAAATGCATTTTTTGAAAAATTGGCTCACTCAAAACACTTTACGATGGTTCAGTAGTGTATATATTAAAAAAAACGAAGGTTAAAAAAAAAATCACCTGAAACGGACATCCGAAACCCAAGTTATGGCCGTTTAAAGTTTCTGAAATTCAGAGCTACCTTAATCTTTAAGATACTGAATATTCAAATGATCGTAACTTTTGACTCGAATGTCCTTTTCACGCAATTTTATTTTTGATCCCTAGTATATTTTAGAGGTCTATTTGAAAAACTCATCCGCTTTAATTGAATTTCCTTTAAATTTTTTCATCATATTTCTACTCATATAAAAATGAGTAAAAAGGCATTTTTTGAAAAATTGGCTAGCTCAAAACGCCTTACGATAGTTCGGTAGCGTAGATATAAAAAAAATACACAGGTTAAAAAAAAATCACCTGAAACGGACATCCGAAACCCGAGTTATGGCCGTTTGAAGATTCCCAAATTTATAGCTACCTTAATCTTTAAGATACTGAATATTCAAATGATCGTAACTTTTGACTCGAATGTCCTTTTGACGCAATTTTTTTTTGATCCCTCGTATTTTTTCGAGATATATTTGAAAAAATCATCCTCTCTAGTTGAATTTCTTTTTTATTTTTTCATCATATATCTACTCATATAAGAATGAGTAAAAAGGCGTTTTTTGAAAAATTGTCTCTCTAACCGCCTTACGGTAGTTCGGTTGCGTAGATATCAAAAAAATACGCAGGCTAAAAAAAATTGCCTGAAACGGACATTCGAAACCCGAGTTATGGCCATTTGAAATTTCCCAAATTCACAGCTACCTTAATCTTTAAGATACTGAATTTTCAAATGATCGTAACTTTTGACTCGAATGTCCTTTTGACGCAATTATTTTTATTCTCTTATTTTTTCGAGATCTATTTGAAATACTCATCCGCTTTAATTGAATTTCCTTTTATTTTGTCATCATATTTCTACTCATATAAGAATGAGTAAAAGGTGTTTTTTGCAAAATTGGCTCGCTCAAACTGCCTCGCGGTAGTGAAGTTGCGTAGATATCGAAAAAATACGCAGGTTCAAAAAAAATAGCCTGAAACAGACATTCGAAACCCGAGTTAAGGACGTTTGAACTTTCCCAAATTCACAGCTACCTTAATCTTTAAGATACTGAATTTTCAAATGATCGTAACTTTTTATTCGAATGTCCTTTTGACGCAATTTTATTTTTGATCCCGCGTATTTTTTCGAGATCTAGTTGAAAAACTAATCCGCTTTAATTGAATTTCCTTTTTTTAATCATATTTCTACTCAAACAAGAATGAGTAAAACGGTGTTTTTTTAAAAATTGGCTCGCTCAAAACGCCTTTCAGTAGTTCGGTTGCGTAGATATCGAAAAAATATACAGGTTCAAAAGAAAAAATGCCTAAATCGGACATTCGAAGCTCGATTTATTGTCGTTTGAATAACCTTTTTTTCTCATCTTATTTCTACGCTTAAATAAATGAGTAAAAGGCGTTTTGTGAAAAATTGGTTCGCTCAAACTACGTTACGGGAGTTTGGTTTCGTAGATATAGAAAAAATATGCATGTTCAAAAAAAAATCGCCTGAAACGGATATCCGAAACCCGAGTTATGGCCGTTTGAAGTTTCCCAAATTCACAACTACCTTAATCTTTAAGATACTGAATTTTCAAATGATCATAACTTTTGTTCGAATGTCCTTTTGACGCAATTTTTTTTTGTTTCTTCGTATTTTTTTGAGATCTCTTTGAAAAACTAATGCGCTTTAATTGAATTTTCTTTTTATTTTTTCATCATATTTCTACTCATATAAGAATGAGTAAAAGGCGTTTTTTGAAAAATTGGCTCGCTCGAAAGAATTGTCTTACGGTAGTTCGGTTGCGTAGATATCAAAAAAATACGCAGGTTCAAAGTAAAAATCGCCTGAAACGGACATTCGAATCTCGATTTATGGGCGTTTGAATTACCTTTTTTTTCTCATCTTATTTCTATACTTAAAAGAATGAGTAAAAGACATTTTTTGAAAAATTGGTTCCCTCAAACTGCCTTACGAGAGTTTGGTTGCGTAGATATCGAAAAAATATGCAGGTTCAAAAAAAAAATTACCTGAAACGAACATCCGAAACCCGAGTAATGGCCGTTTGAAGTTTCCCAAATTCACAGCTACCTTAATCTTAAGATACTGAATTTTCAAATGATCATAACTTTTGCTCGAATGTCCTTTTGACGCAATTTTTTTTTATTCTTCGTATTTTTTTAAGACCTATTTGAAAAACTAATGCGCTTTAATTGAATTTTCTTTTTATTTTTTCATCATATTTCTACTCATATAAGAATGAGTAAAAAGGCATTTTTTGAAAAATCGGCTCGCTCAAAAGAATTGCCTTACGGTAGTTCAGTTGGGTAGATATAAAAAAAATACGCTGGTTCAAAATAAAAATCTCCTGAAACGGACATTCAAAGCTCGATTTATGGCCGTTTGAATTACCTTCTTTTTTTCTCATCTTATTTCTACGCTTAAAAGAATGAGTAAAAGGCGTTTTTTGAAAAATTGGTTTGCTCAAATTGCGTTACGAGAGTTTGGTTGCGTAGATATTAAAAAAATATGCAGGTTAAAAAAAAATCGCCTAAAATGGACATCCGAAACCCGAGTTATGGCCGTTTTAAATTTCCCAAATTCACAGCTACCTTAATATTTAAGATACTGAATTTTCAAATGATCAGACCTTTTGACTCGAATGTCCTTTTGACGCAATTTTTTTTTGATTCCTCGTATTTTTTCGAGATCTATTTGAAAAACTCATCCGCTTTAGTTGAATTTCCTTTTTATTTGGTCATCATATTTCTACTCATATAAGAATGACTAAAAGACCTTTTTTGAAAAATCAGCTTGCTTAAACCACCTTACTGTAGTTCGGTTGCGTAGATATCAAAAAATTATGGAGGTTCAAAAAAAAATTCGCATAAAACGGACATCTGAAACCCGAGTTATGGCCGTTTGAATTTCCTTTTTATTTTTTCATCATATTTCTACTCATATAAGAATGAGTAAAACGTATTTCTTGAAAAAATCGGCTAGCTCAATCCGCCTTACGGTACTTCGGTTGTTTAGATATCGAAAAAATACATAGGTTCAAAAAAATAATCTCCTGAAACGGACATCCGAAACCCGAGTTATGGCCGTTGAAGTTTCCCAAATTCATAGCTACCTTAATCTTTAAGATACTGAATTTTCAAATGATCGTAACTTTTGACTCAAATGTCCTTTTGACTCAATTTTTTTTTTGATTCATCGTATTTTTTGGAGATCTATTTGAAAAACTTATCCTCTTTAATTGAATTTGCTGTTTATTTTTTCATCATATTTCTACTCATATAAGAATGAGTAAAAGGCGTTTTTTGAAAAATCGGCCCGCTCAAACCACCTTACGGAAGTTCGGTTGCGTAGATATTGAAAAAAAATGAACGTTCAAAAAAAAAATCGCCTGAAACGGACATCCGAAACCTGAGTTATGACTGTTTGATTTACCTTTTTATTTTTTCATCATATTTCTACTCATATAAGATTAAGTAAAAGGCATTTTTTGGAAAAATTGGCTCGCTCAATCTGCCTTACGGTAGTTCGATTGCGTAGATATCAAAAAAATATGAAGGTTAAAAAAAAATCGCCTGAAACGGACATCAGAAACCCAAGTTATGGCCGTTTGATGTTTCCCAAATTCACAGCTACCTTAATCTTTAAACCTAGTTGAAAAACTCATCCGCTTTAATTGAATTTACTTTTTATTTTTTCATCATATTTCTAATTATATAAGAATGAGTAAGAGGATATTTTTGAAAAATCGGCTCGCTCAAACTGCCTTACGGTAGTTCGGTTGCATAGATATCGAAAAAATATGCAGGTTCAACATAAAAATCGCCTGAAACGGACATTCGAATCCCGATTTATGGCCGTTTGAATTACCTTTTTTTTTCTCATATTATTTCTACACTTTGATAAAAGAGTAAAATGCAATTTTTGAAAAATTGGTTTGCTCAAATCGCCTTACGGTAGTTTGGTTGCGTAGATATCAAAAAAATATGCAGGTTCAAAAAAAAGTTGGCTGAAACGGACATCCGAAACCCGAGTTATGACCGTTTGAATTACATTTTTATTTTTTTTATCATATTTCTACTCATATAAGAATGAGTAAAAGGTATTTTTTTGTAAAATCGGCTCACTTAATCCACCTTACGGTAGCTCGGTTGTGTAGATATCGAAAAAATATGCAGGTTCAAAATAAAAATCACCTGAAACGGACATTCGAAGCTCGATTTATGGCCGTTTGAATTACCTTTTTTTTTCTCATCTTATTTCTACGCTTAAAAGAATGAGAAAAATGCATTTTTTTAAAAATTGGTTCGCTCAAACTGCTTTACGGCAGTTTGGTTCCGTAGATATCGAAAAAATATGCAGGTTCAAAAAAAAAATTGCCTGAAACGGAGATCCGAAACCCGAGATATGGCCGTTTAAAGTTTTCCAAATTCACAGATATCTTAATCATTAAGATACTGAATTTTCAAATGATCGTAACTTTTGACTCGAATGTCCTTTTGACGCAATTTTTTTTGATTCCTCGTATTTTTTCAAGATCTATTATAAAAACTCATCCGCTTTAATTGAATTTCTTTTTTATTTTTTCATCATATTTCTACTCATATAAGAATGAGTAAAAGGCATTTTTTGACAAATTGGATCGCTCAAACCGCCTTAATGTAGTTCGGTTACGTAGATATCTAAAAAATATGCTGGTTCAAAACAACAATCGCCCAAAACGGACATCCGAAACCCGAGTTATGGCCGTTTTAATTATCTTTTTATTTTTTCATTATATTTCTACTAATATAAGAATGAGTAAAAGGCGTTGTTTGAAAAATCGGCTCGCTCAATCCGCCTTACGGTAGTTCGGTTGCGTAGTAATAAAAAAAATATGCAGGTTCAAAAAAAAAATCGCCTGAAACAGACATCTGAAACCGGATTTATGGCCGTTTGAAGTTTCCCAAATTCACAGCTACCTTAATCTTTAAGATACTGAATTTTCAAATAATCGTAACTTTTGACTAGAATGTCCTTTTGATGCAATTTTTTTTTGATTCCTCATATTTTTTAGAGATCTAGTTTAAAAACTCATCCGCTTTAATTGAATTTCCTTTTTATTTTTTCATCATATTTCTACTCTTATAATAATGAGTAAAAGGGCCTTTTATGAAAAATCGACTTGCTCACAACGCCTTACGGTAGTTCGGTTGAGTAGATATCGAAAAAATACGCAGGTTCAAAATAAAAATTGCCCGAAACGGACATTCGAAGCTCGATTTATGGCCGTTTGTATTACCTTTTTTTTCTCATCTTATTTCTATGCTTAAAAGAATGAGTAAAAGACGTTTTTTGAAAAATTGGTTTGCTCAAACCGCCTTACGGTAGTTTGGTTGCGTAGATATCGAAAAATTTTGTAGGTTCAAAAAAAATCGCCTGAAACGGACATCTGAAACCCGAGTTATGGCCATTTGAAGTTTTCCAAATTCACAGCTATCTTAATCTATAATATACTGAATTTTCAAATGATCGTAACTTTTGACTCGAATGTTCTTTTGACGCATTTTTTTTGATTCCTCGTATTTTTTCAAGATCTATTTGAAAAACCCATCCGCTTTAATTGAATTTCCGTTTTATTTTTTCATCATATTTCTACTCATATAAGAATGAGTAAAAGGCGTTTTTTGAAAAATTGGTTCGCTCAAACAGTCGTACGGTAGTTAGTTTGCGTAGATATCGAAACAATATAAAGGTTCAAAAAAAAATCGCCTGAAACGGACATTTGAAACTCGAGTTAAGGCCGTTTGAATTACCTTTTTAATTTTTCATCATATTTCTACTCATATAAGAATGAGTAAAAGGTGTTTTTTGATAAATCAGCTCGCTCAATCCGCCTTACGATAGGTCGGTTGATTAGATATAATAAATATACGCAGGTTAAAAAAAATACCGCCTGAAACAGAAATCCGAAATCCGAGTTATGGCCGTTTGAAGTGTCTCAATATCACAACTACCTTAATCTTTAAGATACTGAATTTTCAAATGATCGTAACTTTTGACTCGAATGTCCTTTTGACGCAATTTTTTTTGACTCCTC